GCGTCCATGCAACCGCTCTTGTCGCCAGCTAGCCTTCGACGACCACCAGAGCTGTCACCAAGCGTCGTTCATGCCACCGCGCCACACACTAACCAGTAAGGAAGCGATGGCATCCCGCCGCACCGAGTTCATCGCCGCCCACGACCAAACACAGAATGGTAGGGAGGCGGTGGCATCCCGCCATGCCGAGTTCATCGCCGCTCGCGACCTCACACCTATGTGGGCGGAATTTGAAGCTGCCAAGGCCGACTGGGCGGTAGAGCAAGAGGCGGCCAAAGCCGCACAAAGGGAGCGGAAAACTCAGAAAGCACTCAAGAAAAGAGAGGCCCGCCGCTGCAAGAAAGAAGAGGACGCACGCGCTGCTGCGGAGAGGTCGGCGAAGATCCAAGCACGATAGGGTGTCGCCGACAAAGCCGGAAAGGAGAACGACGGCGTCTGGCCAGCATGTGAGAAATATTAGTACTAGTAGTTAGTGTGTGTGTCCGTGTCGCCCGTACGTTTGTTTAATTAATTACGAGCATGTACCAATACTACTAGTTACTACTGTAGTTTTTAGAGCAAATTACCAGTACATTAGTTTAGACTCAATGGAAAAATTCCTATCCTATGCATCAAATGACATCTCTTTCTTTATAGGAATTGAGATGCATGTCATCTCACTTCTTATGATTTTCATATTCCTATCTCATTAGTAATTACTGCGGCGCAACGACCGGGGCGACTCTCCCTTGGAGTTCTGCGGGCATGGCAAGTGGACCAAGATGGTCGACGTCCCACATGTCGGCGAGCGGAAGTATTCTTTCCGATATCAAGGAGCAAGAAAACCGCATGGTATAGTATCACTGGTGATTTATATTTATTTTTTATTTCTGATGAATGCTAACATTTCAACTCTTATGACGAAGGAGTGCCAAACACACGACACGTGCTGGATGTCCCACATGTCAGCGAAAGGAGTGAGACATGAACAAGGTGGTAGAGCGTCTCCACTTTTGGGTCGGAGACCACACGTAGTAGTACTAATGTACTAGTGGTATGAACGATACAAAGTGCGACCCGAAGAGAAAGACACGTCTAGTTGGAAGGTCTCGGAGTATACACGTAAACAAATATAAAACCTAATATGTGCCTCCAATTAATATAGTAGTAGTAGAGTACTTAGTCACGTACTCCATAACATCACTGGGCATTGCACGTACAACATTTAGTGGTAGTAAGAGACAAATGCCTATATGCCATGCATGTTCATACTATTTGTGCCTTTCTACTTCACTTACTGCGCTACATTACACAGGTTCGCACGTCCACTCCTGAGTACATGTGTGCCTCGTAGTTCCATTCTCACGTGTTCTTGATATAGATGGAACGATCCTTGCATGACAAGTGCACCTTGATGCTACATGTCTCGCGTGTTGGCAAAAGCATGAACAAAATCACGTAAAAAATAGAGTGGAAGAACATAGATTCCCGACGACCGAGAAGGAGTAAGGAACCTCGTGGTGGAGCGTGTGCACTCATAATATTTTATATTATTCAGCGATATAAAATCAACCAATCATCTCCATAGTGGATTGGAAGAGTACGAAACACGACAGCCCAGTGTAGTTACATCATACTAGTACATGGCTAACCCACGCTATCACTATATTTCTTGGCTTCCGTGCGACACCTATCTCTAGTAATCCAGCAGCCCGTATCGCTTCTCTCTTCTCGTCTCTCTCAAAGTGCGGCGGACTGGCGTTTTTGCCGTCTATTGAGGTCGGTTAACTCATCACATGTTTGCGACATGCCAAGAGCATTCTAAAAAAATTCCTTTCACGTTCCATTTTCAAAAAGAAAAAAAATCCTTTCACGTACGAATTTGACTGTATGCTTTGAGCAACTTGCATGTCCTATACTGCTCCTGTTTGGATACTCTAACTTAGCTAGAGGTTAGACTAACTCATGACTAACCCTGAACTAACTATAGCCAAAGAGGTGTTTGGGTGACAGGGTTAGATTGACAATAAATGCGCACTTGATGGAGAGAGAAAAGTGATTTTTCAGTGGTCCCAGTGAGAACTATCTCCAGTTAGCACCTCTTGGGTGGGATAGTTTTTTTGGTGGGTTCGATGCAACTTGCTCCAATTTAAACCCTCATGCTTGGATACTTTAGGGCTATTTGAGGCCCAACTAGCTCAAACTAACTCTAACCCATGGATCCAAACAGGGCATATGGCCAGCCTCGACACGGAGCAGTCGTGTGCACCGGGAAGCGGCGCTCTCTCGGCCGTCGCGCCGCTTCAAAGTCGGCGCCAGTGAGAGATCGCCTCCGCTCTGGCCAGGCATTAATGCGGCACTGATGCTTCAGGGCGACGCTGACCGTTTCACGCGAGAAGCGCGCGCTGGCAAGGGAGTATAGGTTTTGAACCGTTTCAGGTGTAGTATTGATAGTTTGCAAAACTACTCAATTATTGCACTCAGTTTCCTAAGAAATTGTGGTAAAAAATGTTACTCCACAGCCCGCTTCCTTTCTCCTTCCTCTTCCACTGCCCACGCATGTTCGCGGGAAGCGACTGGTCAACCTTTATATAGGAGTGCTAGCACAAAAAGATGCGTGCATGACCACTAAAATTTCCAGATTAAAGCGCCGCTCCGGCGGGAGTATGGCGTATGTTGTTACCTTCGGCCGAGCCATGGCTACCGGGAGACGGCGACCAGAGAAGAGGCGGCGGGAGGAGAATGAATACAGCTACTGTTTGGGTTCGCCGTCCGACTTAAATAAATGCGCAACATCACGCGTACCCACGGCGATTTGTGGCAGGCCGACAGGCAGGCGATGCGACGACGATGATCGATGTTGGCTGCAGTGGTCTGTGCCAGCATCATGACGGGCGGTGGCAATGGTGTCGCGATAGGTCCAGCGGCGGCGCGGCGGATTCCGTTGACGGCGCACTGATGTGACAGTTTTACGGGAGTGTTTAGAGGAGGGCCATCTCTCCCTAGATGACAAGGGAGTCGTGCCTTTTTTAAACATGGTACAAACGCAAGCGCTCATATACACGCGCATACACTTATCTTTATGAACGCACACATGTACACCCTACCCCTATAAGCATCTCCGAAAGACTGAGCCGGCATATCATCTTGAAATTTACAAAGTCACCGTAGGCACCTCGTCGTCGACGGAAACGTCTTCTTCCACTGAATGCGCATCGTCGAAAATCCTGAAATAAATGCAGAAATAACTGCGAGTATCAGAATTTGAACCCTGGTGGATGGGGATACCACAGTTTCTCTAACCATCCAATTATAGGTTGGTTCGTGACAAAGAAGTCATGCTGATCCATAGTGGGACCCTTATTTTTTTGGCTTTTTATGAAAACTGTTCAAGCATTCTTTTGCCTAATTGCCTAACATTAAACAAGACTTTTCTTACCGTGTGATACATGTGATAAGCAATCCAAATCATAGGAATATGAATCTCATAGGAAATGAGATGACATGTATCTCAAATCCTATGAGTAGGAATAAGAAGCAAGATGTTATTTGGTTGACACCAAAATTTTTTTTTCATTGAGTCTAGTCTCTTTTTTATTTTTTTTATGATATGAAGGATATGAACCAATCCTATGTAGGAATAGGAATTCATTCCTATGAATCAAAGGGCTCTAAAGAAAAAAATCCTATAAAAATCCTATCCTCTAGAATTCGGGCCTAGACTTTTCTTAGTGGTAGGGAAACAGTTGGTGATGCTCGCAAGAAAGTTCGAGACTTTCAAATGATAAATGAAGAACCGGAAGGAGTAGGACACACCTTTGGTCTTCGCTCCGCCGCTCAGTTCGACGAAATGCCGCATTCGCTCCCTCCTCAGGCAGGCTGTCTCCGCGTACACATCCCACCCCTCCCCCCACCCTTCCCTTCATATGGATACGGTGGAGCCGTGGAGGTCCTCCGGCGAGACACTACGATGGCGCTCAAAGAAGCTCTGCTGCGCGTGCCGCGTGCGATATGGCCCCGGGTCCTCTGCGCCGTATTCCAGGAGAAAGTATGAGGATAGAGGCCTAGGTCAAGGCGAAAGCGCCCACCTACGAGGCTGCACTCTTGCCCAGTGATCAGGGTACTATCGGTATTGGGCGAACGTTTGGTTGGGCGCTGCTCGCAAGGTGCTCGACCAAATGCCCAGGTAGAGTGTGTCGACTGAAATATTTTTTATCTTCTTCTTTATCTCACAATGGTATTAAGCTTGATGTTGAAGTTTTTAGGATCTAAATCATCTACTTTTCATATGATAATTCTGTGAAAAATATCAAAAAGTTTCTAAGTTTTGTCATGATATTCTGCCATTTATTTTCTACTTCTGATGGATCACTATTTGAAGGCTGAATTGTAGTTCATTATCTTGCTGCTTGATGTATATGGATTAGTTGTAAGAATTGCTTGTTTCCAGTGGCAATTTCAAATATTGTATAGCAGGATTAGCACTAAATATAAATTCAAGTGCACAGTCACTGTAAATAAAATGAAAAATCTACGCCACTCCAAAAGAAAAGGTTGCTTCTGTGCTGCTTTAAAATGTCTGAATCCCATGCTGAACAATTTAACCAGATCAGAATAACAAGTCTGCTAATCTAGAAATAATAATGCCTCTGCTAGTGACAGGTTGTTAATTTTATTATTTCCACTGGATCCCATGCTAAACAATGTAACCCGATCAGAAGAACAAGTCTGCTAATCTAATCTGCGAGTGACAGGTTTAGTATTATATCCGGATCTGAATTTGACCAACCTTTCAGCCTTTCCATTGTCTGGTCCGAAGATAGAAAATAAGAAAGCATGCTGGCCCTACTATTGCTGCTGATAAGCAGCCAGAAGCCCAGAAACGACATCCCCGTTGATCATAGACAAAAGAAGTATTGAACTTCCGGTACTTTTTCAGCGTTGTCATCCTAATTTGATTCCTGCAGATCCAAGATCTGGTGTTTAGCCTTGCTCCAAGTAAAGCCATAGCCTCCAAACAGATGGTGCATATGAATCAAGGACAAGGGGAAACAAGCTATGCACACAACTCCAGTATCCAGGTATGTTCCCCTCTCGATTAGTTCACTAATACTGTTTCTGTGGCATGTTGATCTGTTCTTGACACTTGGCTTTTCAAAACTGTTTCGTCAAGTACTTGTTCACAATATAGCCTATGTTACTGACATTTAAAAGAAGAATCAGGGAAGTTAAAAAATCATGACACTTAGCTATATTAGACTCAATTTTCTGAAGAATTGTAACTCGATTGTAGAACGCTCAGCAGAACAGGATGAAGCCCCTGATAGAAGCGGCCATCATTGACTTGTGCGGCAGCAAAAGCACCTTGTTCCCCGAAAAGATGCTGATTGCGGACTTGGGCTGCTCTTATGGCCCAAATGCGCTAGCACTGGTATCGACTGCCGTCAAGGCCATCATCAACCACTGCCTTCAGTTCCAGCAACCACCACCCGAAGTGTGTGTGCTCCTCAATGACCTTCCTGACAATGACTTCAACACGGTGGTGAAGAGCCTGGCCACGCTCCGTCAAAATAACAACAAGCTTGTTGTTGTGACTGGTGTAGCACCGGGGTCATTTTACGAGAGGCTCTTCACTAGTGACTCCTTGCATCTTGTCTGCTCGTCCAACAGCTTGCATTGGCTCTCCATGGTGTGAATTTATCACCCTTCAATGGATCTATCCATTGCATTACTTATTTATTTTGTAAAAGAAACCTTATCCTCGCAGGCTCCCGAAGATCTGACAATGAACCAGATCCCTGCGTACGACATGGATGAGCATGCTAGGCGTGAAAGACTCCCTACGGTCCGTGAAGCATATGCACGCCAGTTCAGGAAAGATTTCATACTTTTCCTGGAGCTGAGAGCCAAAGAATTGGTTCCAGGAGGCCGAATGGTTGTTTCTCTTGTAGGGCGGCCTTCTAATGTAAAAGCCTCCAAATTCTTTCACCTTTGGGAAACTCTAGTTCAGATTCTAAGTGTCATGGCCTTAGAGGTACATCTTTTTCTAGTATTGCATTTTTATCATTTTCGAATGAATGTGTGAGTATTTGAACTCCCGATCTTATGGTATGGTTGACAGGGTGTGATCGACAAAGCGAAGTTTGATTCTTTCTATGTGCCGGTGTATGGACCCTCTGGTGAAGAGCTGAGGGAGATCATCCAAGACGAGGGCTCCTTTTCTATCAGGGATATGCGGGTATATGACGCTACAACTGATATGGACAGCATGCTCTTCACCCCAAGCTCGTTTGTGAATTATCTGAGAGCCATATTTGAGCCGATAATAGTCGAGCATTTTGGAGAGGTCATGGATGAATTTGTGAGGACCGCGGAGCGGCGCTGGAGCCTCGAGGGCAGCATGCAAAACGAGCGTGCTAGGAATCCATGAGCTATGCTGGCTGTATCCCTTGTAAAGGCATGATTATCAGGTACTTTATAGTACATCACATTTGGTTAGGTTTATTGCTTTATTTGAGGTGACAATGTGTGCCAACTTCATTGTGTAAACTACATCCTGTATGGTGTTCTGCGAAGATATCGACGCTCAAGAGATTAAGAATGAACTATCATTTATATAGATTAGCAGACTGTTGTTGCCCACCAACTTGCTCAGCTAGCTAGGCCTATAAAACATTGTGATGTATTGCGCATGCAAATTCTGCCTGAGTTTGTGTCTTGTATCTGTTTTAGTAACTGCGATGAGATTGAAGAAGACGGTACATCAAAGTACCGATGGCCCCTACTAGTATTGCTCGCCGTATGATCCATATAAATTATGTGATGCTCCAACTTTAGTGAATGCCCTTATCACAGAAAGATCTAGAAATTCACAGAAGTCGGTCTAGGTCTAGGTGCACTTGGTCTGGGCTAAGCTAAACCAATATGAACATAAGCTAAATACACTCACAAGTTTGAATGGAAAAAGCAGAACCAGATTGCTAAAAACCAAAAGCAAAAGGAGAACTGGAAGTAGGACTTGGATCGGCTCGACTGCCCGCCACAAGTTCGATGAAATGTGGTGTACCCTCTTCATGGCGGAGTCGCTTGTGCAGGTCACACTGATAGGTTGTCTTGTGCAAGAAGTTCTATTGCTTGGCAACATGGCCTTGTGGGGATCCGAGTTGGATGGACATGTTGTTGACACACTGTTCTGGGAGAAAGATAGATGGATGGTAGTGTCCAGGCGTCGAGCCGAACACACCAGTCTCTAAGGCTTTGTACCCTGTTACTACCTCTTAAGAGGTTGAGCAGGTCTGTTGGTTCATGGGATGGTTCCAGGAGGATATTCAGTAGGTATAATGCAAATGTAACGTGGTTTGCAAGTTGGAGGTCTTAAGGCAACGTACAGGGGTCCCTTTAATCTGTGATGTACCAGCGCCCCCCTCTCTTGAGTTCTTCAAGTCTGGGAGCATCTATGGGCATTCCTCTGCTAGCTTTGTTTCTTTGTCCCGGCAATGGAGCCTGTGAGCTACGCTCGTCGCATCACTTGGGAAGGCATGACCAGGTAACTGCTGTTTTTCTACTTGTTGGGGTTTTCTAAGGTACACCTTATTTGATGGGAACAATTAATTTCCTTCGATCTTTATGCTTGGCATGTAGAGTGCTGATCTGTTATACCCCCCCTCAAGAGATAATAGTGCATCTTGACATTTCAAAAGGTGGCAATGAGTGCATGTGAACTTTCATACGGGCACAAGCAGTTTTGAATGAACTGTCATTTATATCCATTGGCAAATGCTGCTGCCCAAGAACTGAGTCAACTAGCTAACTACATGTACAAAACACTGTGATGTTTGACTTCTTCGAAGGTTAAGTTATGTTGGTCAGTTAACTGCTCGAGATTCTAACACTTACTCTCTTTTTTGTGGCAAAACAGTCGTAATGTGTTATTTGTTTCCAAAGATTCTATTCGATCAGGAGATTAGGAATGAAACACAGACAAAACTTACAAGAGATTGGAGGGAGGATAGCAGAAACAGAACTGAAACTAAGTGCCCAGACTGCTTGAGATTGTAACGTTTATTCTTAGTAGTCAATAGAGCTCTCTTTTCTCACGGAAAGATAACAATTGTGTTGTTTGTTCATGTAGCTCCTTAGTAATAGCACGTTGTTAGTCTTGGTGATAATTCACGGTTTGACACTACTGTAATATTCACTGTGTGATCCAGTAAAGCCCATGATGTTTGTGGTAATGCTAATAATGTACTGGAATTATGGTAAAAAAATGCTGGAAGTTCGATTAATATTCTGTTGCTATGCTCAACTGGAAGAACCATTAAAATTTAACCATGTCAAATAACAATTCTGCTGGTCTAAACAAATATCCTCTCTAGTAGTGACAAGTTTTTATTCTAGCTGTCCCTAATAGTAGTGACCGATAACAGATTGAGAAGCACGTTGACATTTTTACCGCCCCCAATAAGCAGCCAGAACAGTCATCGCCAATTGAGCATCAAAAAGAAGAATTGAACATCCAGTGCAAGCGAAGCCATGGCATCAAAACAACAAGTCTGCTGGTATAAAACAAACTCTAGTAGTGGTAGGTTGTTCATGTACTATATATCCTGATTTGAATTTTACCTAATCTTTCATTAAACCTTTCTATTAGCTGGCTCTAATTAAGATTGATAAGGATGTGGAATCCTATTGTTCCACTCAATAAGCAGCCAGAACAGCTATCCCCATTATGCATAGAAAAAGAATAGCTGAACTTCCAGTGCAATGTCACCATCTCCTTCCTAATCTTGCTCTCTCAGGTTGAAGGTCTCTGGAGGTTAGCCCTGCTGCAACCAAAGCCATGAGCCAAGGCCAAGGGCAAACTAGCTATGCTCCCAACTCCAGCATTCAGGTAAACTAGCTATGCTCCCAACTCCGTTCAGGTATCTCCTTAATTTGGCTTCAGGAGACTGCCTTGTCAAGAATTTGATCATAGTATATATCTTATATTACTGAATTTTAAAATAACACCATAAACAAAAGTACAGTAAGATTTTTTTCCTAGGACATCGCAGGAGATCTGCGTGTCAATATATTAAGGTAGAGATAAAAGTTCATTTACAAGAGCTTGGCAGGTCTAGGCGTCCACAAATCGTCGCCTCCCTGGCCCTACTCCACCTAGCACCCAGACATCATGATATTAGACTATCTATTCTACCTCTCCCCACCAGACGCCATTACTCTATCTATTCTATCTTATTAAAGAAAAATAAGATCGCTATTGATATGTTGAACTCGATTTTCTCAGGCTACAAACAAAGGTCACCAGCCACCGTTTCCAGACCTCTACCTCCATGTTCAGCCGAGGACCAAATGGAACAACTTGTAGTCACAAAACTCAAAATGGACAAAATACTACTCCCTCCGTTCCTAAATATTTGTCTTTCTAGAGGTTTCAACAAGTGACTACATACGGAGCAAAATGAGTAAATCTATACTAAAATATGTCTACATACATCCGTATGTGGTAGTCCATTTGAAATCCTAAAAAGACAAATATTTAGGAACGGAGGGAGTACTCGTGAAAGCAGCAGAGCAAAGCAAAAACAGTATGGAATTCAAAGGTAGCAACACTGAAGCAAATTAATGCATCACCACACTGCACCACATTTTGAACTGATTAGACTACTAACCAAGCCGTAGGTTGTTATATTACAATCATGTATGGGAATTAGCTCCGTACCTGCTCACAGCTCACCGACACCTTATTGTGTGCAAACATATCCACACATCACAACACAACATAAATATATTTTTTGTGGGTAAACACAACATAAATATTAGCTTGCATGACATGAATAAACCGTTGTAATGAAGACCTTGCAATCCCACAAAAATACACTAGAGACCCATAAACGCCGCAACGAAACACATCACTGTAAAGTCGCAGATTCATCTTGCCGATGGACCAAACATGGACATCGGGGCAGCAGTGGTACTCGTGATGCTTCCGCGGACGCTACTGTCCTCACGACCTTCCTCCAAAGCAAGGCTCTCTTTTAGCTGCGCCACAATGACGGCCATTGTTGGCCTTCGGACCGCATCATCTGCTGTGCACGCCAAGGCGGTGTCGATCAGTTTCCACATGGAGTTGACATCATATTCATCTCCAAGATGGGCATCAGCCACAGTGGTGACGTTGCCAGTGGCAATCTTCTGTTTCACACGCTGAACGATGTGGCCATGGCCTGCCAATACCGGAGGCTCACCAGTGGCTACCTCGAGTAGAACAACACCGAAGCTATACACATCGCTGCTCTCAGTGAGCCAGCCAGTGTGATAGTACCTAAGAAATAGCAGGTAAACCACCTCTTAGAAACCTAATTTGGATTAAGCAACAATGCCCTATATGAGAAAGAGGTACGAAAGTTTTATAGTATAGAAAGAAACATACTCAGGGTCCATGTATCCTGCTGTCCCAGCCGCATTGGTTGATATGTGGGTCTGCATGTCGCTAAGATAGGTCTTGCAAAGTCCAAAATCAGCTAGTTTCGCCTTTAGATTATGACCTAGGAGAATGTTGTTGGTTTTCACATCCCGGTGAATTATTGGCAAGCTACATCCCTTGTGCAGATAGTCCAGGCCTACACATATCATAGCAAGTCCTTCAAAATATGACTGAAAAGAAGAGCATACCATCTATAACAAATACGCTTAAGAAAACTATATATATCTTTCCACTAAACCATACCTTGTGCAGCTTCGAGCACGATTCGTACACGTGTCGCCCAACCCAAGGTTTCACCACCATCATTTTTCCCTTCATATACAAGCATGGTAACAGTTAGAGAGCAGAATTGTATCAACAGCTTTACATGTCAATGTTCATATATCTATGCAATATTTCTCCGTTTGCAATTCTGTTATGGTCTCTCACAGTCTTCCTACTCTTCTGTGTCGGATATTGAATAAATTAGATGCATTAAGGTTGTTACTTCGTCAGCCAATGGTAAACAAAATGTTTTATTTTGGACAAGAAGCAATATAAGCAAAGATTACTAGCTGTTACTGATGGTTGCAGGCACTTCACAAGGAAGAGATGTAGACACCCTCGAGCTATTTTAGATAAATACATTAAAAGCATTCAAGATATATAGCCATTGAAGTTCTAACAATGCACATATATTTTTTATGAAACTTCAAGACAACCACAAAATTTGTTATCACTTCATTAGGTTTGCGAATGGACAAACCTCTCAGATGATCACAAAGATTGCCCCGGGACATGTACTCATAAACCAGTGCTAAATGGTCCTTCTCCCAGCAGTAACCAACCAAAGAAACTAGATTCCTGTGATGCACCTTTGTCAAGCTATTGACCTATGTAAAGAGACATGGCACAGAGGTTAAATATCTTAATTTGCATGTAAACTCACTGTGATGACTCAACAAACTTACATTTCAAACTGAAAACTTTCTGAACCAGGGGAGAATTAAAGTACCTCGGCTAAAAACTCATCAAGCCCATGTGATGATGATTCAGAATGCATCTTGACAGCAACCTCAGCATTGTCTTCTAAACGGCCGTAGTACACGAGTCCAAAACCTCCTTTGCCAATGCACCGTTGGAATTTATCGGTAAACTTCTCTAGCTGCTTGTATGTGAATCGGCGGTTCTCAGTATTTTGCAGCTGATCCGCATTACTTTTTCTACTTTCAGGAGCACCTTGAAGTTCTGGTTCTCTGGGAGGATCATGTGTAGAAACTGGTTGCACAAATGTCAGTTATATTACAGAAACACTAAATGTAGTAAACCTAATTAGTTAACAATCAACCAATTTAACTATATGTTGTTAAAAGAATAGAGCATACGCACTTTTGGGCTTTGTCTTTCCCCTCCAGATCAAACATGCCAGAACAAGTATAGCCACTACCAACACGGGAACCACTATTGAAATAGATATTATGGCTGTTCTACTTTTTGATGGAGGCGGACTTATTGTTGTTTTGTTGCACATATCTTCATCAGATTGATACCTGAAATAATGAAATTGCATCAGACAATTAATTCAGAGTTATTTTCTTATCACAATCAGTTCAGAGTTACTTCCCTGGAAAAAGCAAACCTTAAATATTCAGCCGAGCGCATATTCAGAGAAAAGGAAACCTCAAGAAGAAAACCCGAACCTGAAAATGAGTGATCCTGCACTCCTTTTTTTTTTTTTGATCCTGCACTCCTTTTACAGAGGGACTTTGGAACTGGTCCATTCAGACTGTTGCCAGATAAATCCCTGTAGAAAATGACATGTAGCTTAGACATTGAACATGTTCTTAGCATAACAATGGCAACAAAATCTATCCAAATAGAAGTCCTCTCAAGTGGATCCTGTCGGTGTTCTTCACTCCACTACAGAATACAGATACAAGGGGCTCCCCGTTCATGTCAAATGGGGATGTCAGATATTGTGGATAGTACTCCCTCCATCCCAAAATAAGTGTCACTCATTTAGTATAAAGGTAGTACATAAAAGCAAGTATCTGTAAGTATTACACACTTTATACACCTCCTCACCATCCACTAATCATATCTGTTTGTGACAAACTTGTATATATCACAGTCATCCACATTATCCAATACTTACAGATATAGGAGTTCTGTGAGCAGTGTGAAGTTATCAGATATGGCTCCAGTCAAGTTACTGTCTGACAGATCCCTACATGACAATTAACATTAGAACATAACGCAAAGGCTACATATTTGCACACGCAAGATGAAAGACCACCCAGATAATACTCACAGAGATATTATCCGCGTAGTGTTAGCAGTTATGTCGCTACAGTTCACGCCATCCCATCGATATTTGGCAGGAAAACATGGATCACCCATCCAGTTTTTCTTTACTCCGTACTCGAGTTTGATAGCCATCATTGCGTTGACTACCATCGTGGGAAAAAAATGAGTGGTCAGGAAAAGAAGAATGATGATCCTCATAAATAACATTTTTTGATCACTGAATGCAAATATGCAGTTTCATGATACCCTTGCCGGTGCAGCACGACGAGGAGGACGGCGGCGTGTCGCGTCGGGGAGCTCTGCGCGGCCCAGATCTGGTCGGTGCGCATCCGCGACGGGGAGATGGAGGCGGCTGGCCGGGCGCCCATCGGGCTGCTCGTGTGCGCGCGGCTGCGCGGTGGAGTTGCTGGGCATAGCCCGCGCGGCTTGTGGGCGCAGGGGCGGCGCGGCCCGTGCGGCTTGCGAGCGCTAGTGGCAGCGTGGCGGCGCGGCCGCGCGAGTCGCTGCCGTGAGATGCTGCGGGAGGACGCGGGCTCCCCCTAGAGGACGGCCCCTGGCTTGGACGCGGTCGGATCTGGCGAGCCGGCCGGATCTGGCGGCTGGGGGTCAGGAGGCGGCTTGGCTGGCGACGGGGTCGGCGTTGCTGCTGACCATAAACCGTGCGGTGGAGGAAAAGGTCTTTCCTCTTGCAGAGAGGAGCCCGACCCTCGCGTCGCCCACACCGGGCGACTCGAGGGGAACCCCAGCCGCCACCGACCGCCGCCCCTCCTCCCGGCCACCCCCGCATCGCCGCCGGCTCCCCGTGCTCTCTCGTTGCGGCCTCGCGCTGGCCGCGGTGCACCTCAACCTCTCCTTGTTGGGTGCGGCGCCCCGGCGTGTTGCTGCTTCTTTGGCCCTCCGTAGCTCGCTTCGCAGCTCATGGCTGCCTAGATTGTTGGGCTACGGCGGTGGTTGGCCGACTTGCTCCGGTTGCGAGGTGGAGGAGGCACTGCCGGGTGAAAACTTCATCGACGATGACGGCTGCAGCCGCCATTTTTCCTTCTTGAAGGCGTCGAGTTTGGCATTGTTTCCCTCCCCCCCAAGCACTCAGATCCCGAGAGAAATCTCGGACCCGGGGTTCCCCGTGTCGGATGGTGTCGACGTCTCTACGCCGTTTCCTCCTTGGGGGCATCTTCTTGGATTTCTTCTGCTTCGGGTGGACTCGCCTCTTGCTGCTTCCTCTCCACCTCGGCTTCGATCCCTGGCTGGCCATTGTCCTTGGCGACTCGAGTGGAGCTTGCTTGGACATCCTGGGGTGGCCTCGACGACGCGCCGCCCTTCGACCTCGGCGGCAGTACACCGGTACTGCGCCCTTCGGTCTCGGTGGCGTGTTGCCTTCTCGGCTTCGCTGGCGGCACACCGGTGCCGCCACTCGAACTCGGCTATTCGACGCTCTTCGTTCGCGCCAGTGATGCTTCTCGATATGCTTCTACTTCGGTGTCTCCTTTCTATCAGGGATGTGCTTCATGGTGGCCCGGACGACGTTTGCGTGGACATCCTGGGGTGGCCTCGGCGGCACGCTGCTCTTCGACCTCGGCGGCGGTACACCGGTGCCATGCCCTTCGGTCTCGGTGGTTTGTTGTCTCTTGGCTTCGCCGGCGCACACCGGTGTCGCCGCACGAACTCGGCTATCCGACGCCCTTCGTTCGTGCCAGTGATGTTCCATTGCGAGTTGCTGTTATGGTGCCCGTCTTTTTCTCCCTAGGCCTTGTTCTGGTTCATTGTCAGTGGTGGAACAAGCTGCTCAGCGGAGCTTGCTACCTGAGATGTCGGCCTCCAGGGGTTTCGGTTTGGTTCTGTTGCCAGCCTTCCCCTCCATTTTGTTTTTCTTTCTTCTAGTTTTGGGCTTCCTCTTGAAGCCCTCCCCTGTTATTTCCTT